TAAGCTTGGGTAACACCAATTTTGTGGCCTATAAATATGAGCTAATCTCTTTGGGCATAAAGACCAGAGCAATGAAGTTTGCATGGATAAGACCTAAGGCCAGCAGACAAAGAGGACACCTATTTGAGAATATCAGGTCTCAGTAAATATACTGATTGTATTATGTGCCTGTGCTCTGGACATAGGTGTACTGAAGAAAGGCATATAGGTATAAATGGGAAGGAGAAAATAATCATTGTGAGAGGAAAATCAGTAAGAATATGGAAAAACTAAACCAAAACAAAGGGAAACTTCTGCTATGGAAGTTTCCTTGTACTGCTTTCACCTACTTCATGTTCTTTTCTGTCAAAGATTAAAGAAGGCCTTTTACAATCAAATAGCTATGGCCCAATAACAAATTAAAATTTGCTGATGACATAATATTTACTTCTAATTATGATTTACATAATTTATTTATTAAACAAATATTTTTCAAGCCACCACATTTTGCTAGATAGTAAGAACACAGTGTTAAGCAAAATTTAGTTCATTTAACTATGTATTGGTTTTAAGAAATCGAAATAGATCACTTTAACACAAATTATTTGGCTGATACTAAAGCTGCCATATAAAAGTGTTCTGCTTTTCTAGTGGATGTTTTCATAAGAAAATTAATAATATATTTATATTGTGTTTTTAATATGCTTTGCATTTAAAAGAGGAAAACTGTTTCCTTCATAAAAGATGAGAAAATAAGTGATATGAAAACTTGTAATTAAGATGACCTTGGTTCTAAAGTTATTAACTAAATATTGGATTTGTTCAGAAATTAAGATATAATACAGGTCCTTGGATTAAGAATGTTTGCCATCATTCATTATTCCATAATTGAGGTCATTGGACTTGTAAATGTACTATGGCAAAATTAATTCACCAATGCAATATCTAAAATCCTTTAATTCTGTACTTGGAAGTTTGAAAATATGTCTTTCCATATCTTGAAATCCTTAAATTGAGTATTATGTGTATGTATAAATGCAAATAGTATATAAGTCATAAAATTGAATATTAACATTGGCTAAAGTTTAAAGAAAAATGACAAATTAAATTGGTAGCTGGTTATGATAATGTTTATGCTTTTAGATTTTATAATGATAGAGAATATTTAGTTTACTATGTCATCTTTTAATTTGGAAATTTTTTTTAATTATGGAGACAGTATGGGGAATTTTATCGCACTTATACTTTGCTCTTAATAATAGTATGCATAATGTTCTTAAAAACTGTTAACTAGGGTTAGGCTAATGTGCTAATAGATTATTTGATAAATCATTATTATTATAATTTTAGATAGTTATTAATCTATTCTTGCTCAGACTTCTTTGATTAAAACTTCCCTTTAGATATGATTGTATATGTTTAGATCACTCTACCATTTGAACTTTATTAAATTAAGAGAATTTTAGGTACAAGCTAATATGTTGGGTTGATTGGGAAAATGACTACAAGTTTCAATTTTCAATATTAATGTCATCTGCAAATCCTCTCATCAAGAGTTTGAACGTATTTTCTCACTCTTAGTTAGCCTAGGCTGGCTTTTCTTTTCTTGAGCTAATAAAAGTTATAGTATGCTAGTTGCAAGCAGTCCTAGAGTCTTCACACATTTCTATTTTCTATTGAAACCAACATGAGAACAAGTCTGGGCTAAGTTGTTAAAAAACAACAGTGTAGGTGGATCAGAAATAAATTGTTCAACTGAGGACATCCTTGCACAGTTAGGCCACAGCCAAATCAATTCGTGGCAGACAGAAACCTGAGGCCAGATTAACTGAGTCTGCCCTAGCAATCTCACAAACCTATCAGACTAATGAGAAATAAGTGTTTTTGTTTTAAGTCGCTGAGATTTGTGGTCTTTTATTACAGAGTGATATTTAAGTGGTATGGCTAGGAAACCTATTTTTTTTGTATAAATATTATACTAATAATAAAAATTGGAAAATTATTTTAGAAATTGCTTCTGTGAGTGCAATAGTGAGATTCTGCTGACACATTTGTTATTAAGCACAAGTCTTAATTTCTTTAAAATTTTGCATTTAAGATGAGTTTTAAATTAAAATATTTTTCATCAAAGAACTGTAATAGATTCTAATAAATGATACGCATAGAATGAAAAACTCAATAAATAAAATTAAGAACCTAATGCATGGATTTAAAACACATTATACGTAGTTAATAAGATAGGTAATAAAGGACTGAAAAAAGAAAGAAATGTCCAGAGTAAAGGATAGTACAGAGTCATAGGAGGTAGAATCAAAATAGCAAACACACTGGTAATTGAGTGCCAGGAAAAGAGGAGGAAGAAAATAAATCAGCATCAATATTTGATGACCTTTTGCATGAAAGGTTCATGAAATTGATGTAAGGCATAAAACTATGAATATAAAAACCACTATAAATACTAAGCAGGATAAATAGCAAAAGAAAAATATTCTGAAACATGACACTATGCAACTATTAAAGATCAAATATGAGAATAAAAATAATAAAAACCAGCCATGAAAATTTGCATAAGGTAAAAAAGACTAATTATTTTAATGCTAATTGGTTTTAAAAATGAAGAAACTGATCTTTCAATGTCATGTGTAATTTATTAAGGCAAATATTCCAAATAAGAGAACAGGGATTAAAAGCCATGTATACCCAGCTCAAAAGTTCATGTGCTTTTCACTGCCCTGCCTTCCCCCACTTCACATATTCCCAACTTACACAGATTACTCGACTTAAATTGGTTTCTTTAGTTGTACGTAAGCTGAATAAATGATAAGTGTTTATCTTTAACGTCTTTGCATTTTTCTGGTTGTTGTCCATCTTAAATACATGTAATCTAATTGTACGCTACATGACTTAAAATTGTGTTCAGAGAGACATCAAGTAAGTGCTGTGGCTAATTAAATCTAAAATGGTTTAATAAAACATAAAATTCTCATTATGATCACGATTATCATCACCCTCATCATCAAAAAATAGAAGTGCAATGCCTGTACGAACATTATATATCTTGTTAGGGTTATAATATGCAAATTTAGACTGGCTTGATTTAGATTCTAATTTCTTCTATCACTGGCATTGAGCTTTGAAGATGTCACATAATCCTTATGTTTTTCCTTCTATAAAATAGGAAAAGTAAAAATGATTTCCTCACTGCATAATTTTGTTAAATAAACAAAATATTCCATACAAACCAATTGTTGCAGTGTCTAGTACGGGAAAACCACAAAATAATTGTTAATAAAAATAAATATTACTATTTAAACCAAAAAGTCTAGTGTTGAGAGTTTATAAAGTGATACCAAAAATCTTAAGAGCACATAAAGGCTTTTTCAAAAATGAAAAAATTTGAGTAAATATAAAAGTTCTGACAATCGCATTTGTACAGGCAGTACATTTTGCAGAATGAATTTATACATAGAAAAAGAGTTTGGAAAAACTATTTAACATCATTTTTACCTTGAAAAATCTTCAGCTCTCCAAAAGTGATTTCACCAATTTTTGGTTTAATTTAGGGAATTTTCACTACAAAAATACTTGTGATAAACTCAGGATAAATGATACTACTTTAGTCATTTTTACACAACATTCAACATATATGTTAAATGTACTTGACATTTTAAAATTTATCTGTATATATCTTGTAGCATAAAGAGGATGTCAATGTCAAATCTGTCCCATTTATATCTAGAAAACAATCAGAAGACCTTAACATTTTCAAAGTATATAAATGTATTCTATTAAAGATAAACTTGAGAATATATGAATAAATATGATAGACTCAAAGCAAATAAATTACATCGCCTTATAAAACACAAAGAATGTAGAATTATGCTGAAATTAATATAGAAAACCTGAAGCAACAATAGATGAAAAACAAGCTTTATCCATGTCTATTTGATGTCACTTTACTGTGACAATAACTTTAATACATAATGGAAAACAATGCTGCCTTCAGATGGCAATACATCATCATGAAGCTTTATTATTTGACTAAAAGAAGTGATTTTATTTCATTAAATTTTGTCCCTAAGACATGGTCACTCCACACAACCTTAGTTTAGCAGTCACTATTATCAAACTCAAGGAAATTATAACAACATTTATGCATCTCTCTTGACAATAGTTTTATGTAAGGAATAATTAGTTAAAGACTCTATTATTAAAAAGCAGACATCTAAAAGAATTCTCAGATGCATTGCAGCATAATTTCTCACCACTTGATACAAATAAAATACAAGTTTTCAGGAGAAGCATGCCTTTTACTGCCCCAGGGAACAGAGAAGCCACATTCAAAGGAACTCTTCCTTTGGGATTGCATCCAAGAGTGGCAGACAAATCTTTTACACTTGTGAAAAAAGAAAAAAAAAAGTCCAAAGAGCTCCTGCTTATACATTAACACTTAATAAATCCAATTTTAGGCATATCCCTATTAAAATGAGAACAAATCCCCTGAAACTTTCACTCCTCACTCTCTTCACTCTTCAATGTCTTTATTTTAGACTTCCGTTTAGATTTTTGAATAAAGTTCAGCTTCTGCTAATTTAGTGTGCCGTGTTTAAAAAAAAAAAATAGTGCTAGTGCATTAACATAGAAAGCATATTTGCAAACATTCAACACACCACACTTATTCAGTAACCTCTGGGCATAGGAACTACCTGCGATTTTATTTTTTTATTTCCCAAGAGATATTGCTGGGTAAATTTTCTTAGCATCACATGGATATTTATTTTCTTGCTAACATATGATCAACAACTATCCTTTAAATAAAACTTTTTTTTTGCAATTTAAATAAGCAAGAATACATGAATACAATTACACTGAAAAAACAAAATGGCAAAATGTTTTATTCATCCACTAGACAAATACATATTGGGTGCCTACTGTGTGCCAGGATATTTTAGATTCTTGGGAGACAACAAAACAAGCATAAATCTTGCTCACCTGGGAGCATATCGAACATGGCCAAGAGAGATAAATTACTCAACAGGAAAATGTAGAACACTGCCAGAGTTTGTACTTTTTTTAGTTGTAATGGAAAGCTACTGGAATGTGTTAAGCAAAGGAGGAACAGGGAATGACTTATGTTCATGGAGAATCATTCCTGCTCCTTTGTGGTAAGAATGGAAATGAAGAAAGCAGCAAGGAGACTATTACGGAGGTCCAGGTATGAGATGATAGTGATCATTAGAAAGTAGGCATCAAGGTTAGTGGGGGTGATCATATAAAGTGGTCAGATGTAGCATGTTCATGTAGGAGGTAATCTCTTAAAATGTTAATGTCTTGAATATATTTATCTTTTTAATAAATGTGTGAAAATTTGGGTAGTTCCCAAATTATCAGATAGAGGAATGTTTTAAACTACAGAGATGGTTACAACCTGTTGGTTAATTTGCATCTTATAGTAATTAATCACTTCAAGCTATGTAAAAAACAGTTTTTATAGTTTTTAATTTTTTTCATTGTGAACATAGTAAGTGGAAAATATTTAACTGACAATCAACTACTTTTGAAAACAAGTATTACTTTTGAAGTAATCATATTTGAATATGAGTTAACAATGATAGTTTTGTATTTTAAATATATATCTATGCGCATTATTAAATAATATTTAAAGACTAAAGTCTTTAAAATTTGTAACTTCTTTGAAAACATACAATTTTAACCTATTAAAATATTCGGTGGATACATAGTTGAGAATAGCAAATACATAGTAAATACTGGCTGGGCGCGGTGGCTTAGGCGTGTAATCCCAGCACTTTGGGAGGCCGAGGTGGGCGGATCACAAGGTCAGGAGATCAAGACCATCCTGGCTAACACGGTGAAAGCCTGTTTCTACCAAAAATACAAAAAAATTAGCCGGGTTTGGTGGCGGGCGCCTGTAGCACCGGCTACTTTGGAGGCTGAGGCAGGAGAATGGCGTGAACCCGGGAGGCCGAGCTTACAGTGAGCGGAGATCGCGCCACTGCACTCCAGTCTGGGCGACAGAGGGAGACTCCGTCTCTAATAATAATAATAATAATAATAATAATAATAATAATAAATAGCAAATTCCTGTTCAACTACCTCAGTTGAAGAATCCCAACTATTTCTTGCCATATAATTAGAGAGAATGAAACACATTGACACAAGAAAGTGTAAAGTACAAAGGAGTGTATTATTTTATGATTCTGATAGGAAAATGACTATATGGGCAATTATTTGGCATGCACTAGTAAGCTGAAACAAATTTTTATTCATTAAAAATGGCAGTTTCTTTAAATGTTAAGTTTGGTATTTGACCCTCTATAATGTAGTGTTTTGGTTTTTTTTTTTTTTTTTTTTTTAATACATTAAGTTCTCGAATACATGTGCAGAACGTGCAGGTTTGTTACATAGGTATACAGGTGCCATGGTGGTTTGCTGCACCCATCAACCTGTCATCTCTGTTAGGTATTTGTCCTAATGCTATCCCTCCCTTAGCCCCCCACCTGCCAACAGGCCCCAATGTGTGATGTTCCACTCCCTGTGTCCATGTGTTCTCATTGTTCAATTCCCACTTATGAATGAGAACATGCGGTGTTTGGTTTTCTGTTCCTGTGTTAGTTTGCTAAGAATGATGGTTTCCCGCTTCATCCATGTCCCTGCAGAAAAAACATGAACCCATCCTTTATTATGGCTACATAGTGGTGTGTATGTGCCACATTTTCTTTTTCCAATGTGTCATTGATGGGCATTTGGGTTGGTTCCAAGTCTTTGCTATTTTGAAAAGTGCTGCAATTAACATGTGTGCATTTGTCTTTATAGTACAATGATTTATAATCATTTGGGTATATACCCAGTAATGAGATTGCTGAGTCAAATGGTATTTCTGTTTCTAGATCCTTGAGGAATCACCACACTGTCTTCCACATGGTTGAACTAATTTATACTCCCACCAACAGTGTAAAAGTCTTCCTATTTCTCCACATCCTCTCCAGCATCTGTTGTTTCCTGACTTTATAATGATCACCGTTCTAACTGGCATGAGAAATTATCTCATTGTGGTTTTGATTTGCATGTCTCTAATGACCAATGATGATGAGCTTTTAATCTTTTATTTTTTATTCCTTATACTTTAAGTTCTGGGATACAAGTGCAGAACGTGCAGGTTTGTTACATAGGCATACACGTGCCATAGTGGTTTGCTGCATCCATCAACCCGTCATCTACATTAGGTATTTCTCCTAATGCTATCCCTATCCTAGCCTCCCACCTCCCGACAGGCCTTGGTATGTGATATTCCACTCCCTGTGCCCATGTACTCTCATTGTTGAACTCCCATTTATGAGCCAGAACATGTGGTGTTTGGTTTTCTGTTCCCCTGTTAGTTTGCTGAGAATGACCGTTTCCGGCTTCATCCATGTACCAGCAAATGATTCATCCTTTTTATGGCTGCAGAGCATTCCATGGTGTATATGTGCCACATTTTCTTTATCCAGTCTATCGTTGATGGACATTTGGATTGGTTCCATGTCTTTGCCATTGTGAACAGTGCTGCAATAAACATACGTGTGCATGTGTCTTTATAGTAGAATTATTTATAATCCTTTGGGTATATACCTAGTAATGGGATTTCTGGGTCAAACAGTATTTCTGGTTCCAGATCCTTGAGGAATCGCCACACTGTCTTCTGCAATGGTCGAACTAATTTACATTCCCATCAACAGTGTAAAAGCCTTCCTATTTATCCACATCCTCTCCAGCATCTGTTGTTTCCTGACTTTTTAAAGATCGCCCTTCTAACTGGTATGAGATGATATCTCATTGTGGATTTTATTTGCATTTTTCTAGTGATCAGAGATGCTGAGCTTTTTTTTCATGTTTTTTGGCCACATAAATGTCTGCTTTTGAGAAGTGTCTGTTCACATCCTTTACCCACTTTTTGATGTCTTTTGTTTTGTTTTGTTTTGTAAATTTGTTTACATTTCTTGTGTATTCTGGATAGTCGACCTTTGTCAGATGGATAGATTGCAAACATTTTCTCCCATTCTGCAGGCTGCCTGTTTACCCTGGTGACAGTTTCTTTTGCTGTACAGAAGTTCTTTCATTTAATTAGATTCAGTTTGTCAATTTTGGCTTTCTTTGCCATTGGTTTTGGTGTTTTCGTCATGAAGACTTTGCCCCTGCCTATGTCCTGAATGGTATTGCCTAGGTTTTATTCTAGGGTTTTTATGGTTTTAGGTTTTACATTTAAGTCTTTAATCCATCTTGAGTTAATTTTGTATAAAGTGTAAGGAAGGGGTCCAGTTTTCCCGACACCATTTATTAAGTAGAAATCCCTTCCCCATTGCTTGTATTTGTCAGGTTTGTCAAAGGTCAGATGGTTGTAGATGTGTGGTATTATTTCTGAGGCCTCTTTTCTGCCATTGGTCTGTATATCTGTTTTGGTACCAGCACCATGCTGTTTTGGTTACTGTAGCTTTGTAGTGTAGTTCAAAGTTAGGTAGTATAATGCCTCCAGTTTCGTTCTTATTTCTTAGGATTGTCCTGGCTGTACAGGTTCTGTTTTGGTTACATATGAAAATTAAAGTAGTTTTGTCTAATTCTGTGAAGAAAGTCAATGGTAGTTTGATGGGGATAGCATTGAATTTATAAATTACTTTGGGCAATATGACCGTTTTCATGAATTGATTCTTCCTGTCCATGAGCATGCAATATTATTACATTTGTTTGTGTCCTCTTTCATTTCATTGAGTAGTTGTTTGTAGTTCTCCTTGAAGAGGTCCTTCACATCCCTTGTAAGTTGTATTCCTAGGTATTTTATTCTCTTTGCAGCAATTGTGAATGAGAGTTCATTCATGATTTGGCTGTTTGTCTATTACTGGTGTATAGGAATTTGTGTGATTTTTGCACATGGATTTTGTATTCTGAGACTTTGATCAAGTTACTTATCAGCTCAAGGAGATATTGGGCTGAGATGATGGGGTTTTCTAAATATAAAATCATGTGGTCTGCAAATAGAGACAACTGGACTTCCTCTTTTCCTAACTGAATACCCTTTATTTCTTTTTCTTGCCTGATTGCCCTGGCCAGAACTTCCAATACTGTGTTGAATAGGAGTGGTGAGAGAGGGCATCCTTGTCTTGTGCTGGTTTTCAAAGGGAATGCTTCCAGTTTTTGCCCATTCAGTATGATATTGGCTGTGGGTTTGTCATAAATAGTTATTATTTTTAGATATGTTCCATCAATACCTAGTTTATTGAAAGTTTTTAACATGAAGTGGTGTTGTATTTTATTGAAGGCCTTTTTCCCATGTATTGAGATAATCATGTTGCTTTTGTCATTGGTTCTGTTTACGTGATGGATTATATTTATTGATTTGTATATGTTGAACCACCCTTGCATCCCAAGGATGAAGCTTACTCGATTGTGGTCAATAAGCTTTTTGATGTGCTGCTCAATTCAGTTTGCCAATATTTTATTGAGAATTTTTGCATCAATGTTCATCAGGGATATTGGCCTGAAATTTTGTTTGTCGTGTCTCTGCCGGGTTTTGGTGTCAGGATGATGCTAGCCTCATAAAATGAGTTAGAGAGGAGTATCTCTTTTTCATTTGCTAGAATAGTTTCAGAAGGTATGGTACTAGCTCCTCTTTGTACCTCTGGTAGAGAAGATGGGTGTGAATCCATCTGGTCGTGGGCTTTTTTGTTTGTTTGTTTGTAGGCTATTAATACTGCCTCAATTTCAGAACCTGTTATTGGTCCATGCAGAGATTCAACTTCTTCCTGGTTTAGTCTTGGGAGGGTGTATGTGTCCAGAAATTTATTAATTTCTTCTAGATTTTCTAGTTTATTTGCTCACAGGTTTTTATAGAATACTCTGATGATAGTTTGTATTTCTGTGGGATCAGTGGAGATATCCCCTTTGTAATTTTGTATTGTGTCAATTTGATTCTTCTCTTTTTTATTCTTTATTAGTCTGGCTATCAGTCTATCTCTTTTGTTAAATTTTTCAAGAAAACGGCTCTTGGATTCAATGATTTTTTGAAGGGTTTTTCGTGTCTCTATCTCCTTCAATTCTGTTCTGATCTTAGTTATTTCTTGTCCTCTGCTAGTTGTTGAATTTGTTTGCTCTTGCTTCTCTAGTTCTTTTAATTGTGATGTTAGGGTGTTGATTTTAGATATGTCCTGTTTTCTCCTGTGGGCA